TCATCAATTTTAATCCATTGCCATTGATAATCGATATCAATTTTCGATTGATATCGATTATCGATTTATCGATTGACTACGCCTGGGACATCCCACAACATTAGATGCGCTTTCAAATTAAGGCTCTTTTCCTTTCTCCACAGGGTTGTTCATTTTCCTGTCTTTCGCTGCTGGTGGAAAGGCTTGGGATTTATATAGAAGTAAATCAGCTGGTATTATGAGACGTTGTACACAGAACAAAGAAGACACTGGAGGATTAAACCGTAACTGTGACGAACAAGCAGTGATTTGTCGCGCAAATGAGGCTCAAGTTACACAGGACACTTACTTGTGATTAACTAATGTAAGAGTAAAGTTGATCCCAGGGTCTCTCGTCTCTTCTTGACCGTCCCCCTAGAGACCTAACTGAGCTTCAGGCCGGGCGATAGTAAGGCACACGTTAGGAACGAGTTTCACGTAGCAGGACAATGACAACTGGTATATATGGAAAAACTGATTCTGAGATGCTCTCGAAATACTACTTCACTTCTGTACCGCAGAAGTCTTAGCTTCAAGTCTCATTGCATTGAAGCGCTGTAAAATAGTACTTTTTAAACTCAGATAGACCCTATATGGTCAACTGCATCCAAGAACATTACTATTTAAATCGTATTTCAAAGCCTAGTGTTATCAAAATTGATCCACTTTTCTTGATACAAAATCTGGTAAGAGGCGCTGTGGCCAAATTGGTCATGCGAATAAAGCCAGTTGTTGCTCTATAGTAAGTGAGCTGAACTCTGAATAGAGCGATCCTGGTACAAGTCTGGCCCGGGTGATAGCGTTGTCCCGACATTTGCATTGCGCATCCTTACTGCGCATAATGTATGGCGTCATTAGCGCGCGCTCGTGCACGCGCACATTGAAAACATGGCAGATTTACCCTAATATTGAGTTCTGTCAGCTGAAAAATGGCTCTAGCTCACTAACGAGCTCGGTCACCCCAATTTTTTTCCCGTCGTTTTAATGAACTCATCATAAGCTTTGCGTGAGAAAAGACTGATCTGATTTCTATGTTATAAATTTAGCTAAATTTCTTAGTAAACATAGAGTCAATTCAAGACAATCATGATAGACGTCATTCTCGGAGACTCAGGGGCAGTTAGTGGGGGCGGGGGAAAAAGTCTAAACGGGTCTTCGGCCGAACTTTTTCTCCCCCGTTTAGACTTTTCCTCGCTCCCAATAACTGCCCCCTGGGTCTCCGAGAATGACGTCTATAATGACTCCTTGTTCACTAAAAAATTTATAACCCGATAGTGAAAAAATATTCAAGGTACACCAACCTCTATTACGCGGCCAGCCCCTATTAAGTGACCACCTTCCAATTTCCCGAGGGTAGCCCACTGTATTATATGTAAACCAAAAATAATTGCACAGCGAGAAAAGACCAGGTACGAGTTTAGCGTTACAGTATTTACGCAGGGCGTGTAGGTAGCGGTTGTCTAG